ACAGCATCTCGTTTTGCTTATTCACACTTTCTCAATCACATGAGCCTCGACATTCAGCACATCTGCTCTAATATCCAGCCTCAGATATCACCCTTATACCACCTAGGCAGAAGCCATGATGACGGTTGCATGCTAATTGCCTCTCTATACGTATAAGCAGTGCCATACATTAAGCAATGCAGCACAGCCAAGTAATTATGACATCTAACCTATCTGTGTGTCCCATCAACAGCAGTGTGTTCCAGGAAAACGGAGGGGTAAAGATAACACACAAGGCTATGGTTATGGTCAGCTTGGCCTAGCCAAAGAGTCTGAATGTGTATGCAGTAGGAGGAAGTTCTTCATGGGAGACTTAAAATGACCTTAAACAAGATGCTCAAACCTTTAAGTGCCATTGTGTGATTATTGTGTGACTGGAGAATGTCTGGAAGCTCGACATGTGTTAACTTTTGTGATCCCTCAGTCTTGGAAATCAATAAGCCAAGTCAATAAGCCACTGGGGACAATCTGATATATTTCTGAGGTTCCGGTGAAAGCATCTGATATCTCGTCCAAGATGTCCTGTTCCTCCAATTAAATGTTGTCTACAGTCCAATTAGTTTGGGATGCGAAACTAAAGTTGGAGTTGAGAAGCGATGTCTGGGACCAGATTGTCTCACAAGTAGCAAGTTTACAACCTCATTTATAGTAATAAGAACGTTTAGTAATTAGCAATTGTTAGCACACAAACAGGCTAAACTTGGAGTACTAACTTTAAGTGTCAAATCTGTGAAAGTTGTTGAACACAACAACATGGAGGGGTTTCAAATTAATTTCTACTAGAAACTGAATAGCATTGGCTAGAAAATATAATAAAAAATGAATATACATTTTGTTAGATTTTCACAATATACTGATATGAACCTATATGCTTTGGACTTGGCCAATGGTTGGTATAGGAATATGAAACATAAGAGATCTGAATTGACTTGGTCAAAACACGAAAAACGTGTAGGATTAAGTGGTTTTTTTAAACTCTAAGGATGAAGAATTAACTATTTGGAGAAAACTGAATTTAGACTTCATATGTCCTGATATCTGACTTTTAGAAGACACATCACATTGGTTGCCCGAATTGTGAGCCTCCCTTACACCCTCAATGAAAGAGAACATCTCCCTGCAGCCTTCAGGCAGGGATTCAGCGTTTTAACATTTGCCCCCTCGGAGGGTCGCGACCCAAACTCACCCAATCACAGCGCCAATCACACACATTAGTAGTTGGCTTTACCCTCAGCCTGACCTGTGACTTCTGATACTTCCTGTAGCAACACGTCTGTCCTCAGGTCAAACATTACTCACCGCACCCCCCCCCCCCCCCCAAAAAAGAAATCCAGTTTAGGGGTCAACTGTTCAGAGTTCATCCACGGCCAGATTTCATTTTTGCAATTTTTACGCAAGTGGTTAATATGTAGTTGAGGTTGTACACGATATTGCCGGGCATCCACTCTGAAATGTATGATAGCCTGTCAAATACAACATTTTCTTACTAGATACGTGCATGCAAACAGGAGACTTCACCATCAGTGCATTCCTAGAAGCAACGGTATAGGTGGAGGCATTTAAAAAAAAACTGTTTTTACGGCCTCAGCACACACACACAAATTCAAATACACACTTGGAAGTATTGTTGTGGCTGTCTGAGGCTTGCGTGCCATCCCCCAGCTGCCTGAAACCTTGATGTATACGGGGAAAATATATAGCCCCGGGTTATTAGCTATAGCACGAGGCAGCTGATTGTTGCCTTATTTAAGTTGTTCTTCCTCCCTCCTTTCAGACACACATGTCATTGAACCTTCAGGGCCAGATGAAAGAAATCAAAGGCATGTGACCCACAAAGGGGATGGGAGAGAGGCTGTGAAGGGGTGTTCATGTGTGTGCAGGTCTTCAAACTCAAGAGAATGGGAAGGGTATTTCTGACAACGAACCCCTTCTCTCTGGCCCGTACAAAAATGGCAGCCTCTTGGCTATGACACCTCTCAATAAAAAAATGCATTTGTGTTTGTGCATGTGGGCATCAAACCTCATCTGTAAAGGTCCTGTGAGTACTTGTACTCGGTTTTTATATATAACTAAAAGAATGAAAAACTGAAGTTAATTAATAAAGGGCCTTCTTCTTCAAAATTAATAGAAGGTGGACTAAAATCCAATAAGTAGTTGTGTCTTATTTATTCAGTTTAGTCATGCTATCTTGTTGGGATTTGGGGCCACTGGGTCCCATGACATGAGGGGTATTAAACCTAGGAGAGATTTTAAATAAAAAAACTCCTGAATTTGCATAGAGAAGATAGCAGGCCTGCACCGTGTTGGTGACCCCTACTGCAAGGCAAACTGAACTCTCCAGTGCCGCAGGCCTGCCAGCATCTGAGGCCACACAGCCAGGCTGCATGAGTCACACAGTGCCGGGTGAAAACCAAAATGTGTAAAAACGTCCCATTGGCAGATTAGTTTGTTTACATCCTGCACTGGACGTGATTTGGCCGGGCTGCAGCGAGACACAGCCAAAAAGCCTGTCTTCTCTTTCCTCCCTTTAACTCGATCCTTCAATGCCTCTTTCCTCCTTTTACCGTTTTCCCTCCCTCTTTTCTCTCAACTATCTCCACTTCATCTCTCGCTGGCCCACCGCTGCCAAGAGCACATGACCATGAGGCGGAGTGAAGCGGAAAGATAAATCAGGCCTGCCCCAGTAACACATTTAAATGAAGTAAGAAAAAAGAAATCAAACAAATGTATAACAACACCAAACAGATGGGGAAGTTGTATTTCCAGAATAAAACAAGACATTCTTAAAAACAAAAAGGAGAAAAAATAAAAGTCCCCCTCAATGGAGTTTGCCAAGCTATGAGCTCATACTTTGTAGATCTCTGCTGAATATCTATTCATAGCGTCAGCTCCAAGATGTCAGACTTTTATGAGCCATTTCTCCTCTCGTTATCTGCAGCAACATTTAAGTGCCTGCTAATTTACGTCTGGAAATGTGTGTTTTGACTTGGAAGCATACTCAGGATGGCTTAAAGTGAACCGGTGTGTATGGGGACTGATTAAACTCTTCATACTTCTTGGATTGCAGAAGAGACTGGTAAAGGTCGACATGTGTCTGCGGCTTTGTGTGGGTGTCATTTTCACACCAACCCAAAGCATAATGATGAACAGGGTCAGACTGGGGTAACGTGAACACTAAGAAACACAGAGACACCCACGTCATCTGTGAGCCGTGGTTTTGAGGTCATGCTTGGCACATCTCTCTGAAAGTGGTGATTTCATAACGACATCATGGCATATGAGCTACTGCCTCTCTTCCTGCACCACCTTAGGGTCAAAGGTGAAACAAGTTTTCACTAAAAAGGTTTCTGCCTCTCTAAATCAAGAGCTGCATTCGACTACTGTTGGCGAGACACCTAAACCTATGCAGTGTTTTCGCTTGAGGCGAAATTACTCAAATGGGTGCGACTACACGTTTGATGTGAGCTGACAGCACTAAACAAAGAATGTGATTCCCCCTATTAAAGAGTCTGCACACACAGGTGATATGAGCTCTGATCAGGAAGATGTCAATCATGTGTGCACAGGCGAAGTCTCGTCAGGATAACTGAGGTTTCAATTAGTTCCACATCTGGAGAATACACGTCTTTTGTTTTCATATATTTTCAACACCTGTTTTTTTATAACGATAATCATATACAATTTAAAGAAGTGTGATGTGTTTGTACAGTTAAGTTGTGGGGAGTCACTGGGTCATATGCTATTGGAGGTATTGACAAAATATAGGGATTTCAATACAAAACTCCTGAATTTGCATGGCTGCTGTATGTTTGTATGACATAGATACAAATCTAATTAAAGAGGTGAAGAAATGTGGTCAAATGATAAAGAAGATATTGAGTAATACAATATTTTTTTATACATTTTTTAATATTTTAAATATATTCCCATAAATGGAAAAAACACACTAATCCAACCCTTCATATATAAAAAGAGGCGTGTCCTACTTGTCCGGGACTTACTGTGAATTAACAACAAACATCAGCTAAATGCTACGAGTCAGTCAAACATGAGTAACTTTTCAAGAAAACATGCCAGTAGTTTTTTCTATAATCTAACTGGCAGACAAACAAGCCAACAAACAAAACAAATCAAAAACATAAGAAGAAAACCATCTCCGTACACAAAAGAGTTTTAACACCATAACAACAAAAATCTCAAATTACATGATGTAATGTTTTACTGGCTGACCATCCTATTTGGGCTCCTTGTTAATAAAAAAAGCACGGTGTTCTTAATTGTTTGCCGATGAACTCAGAATTTGTATTGACCAACAGTCAAATGACAACAGACAATTTCACCCAAAAAGGGGCATGGCCATGGCGTAGAAGGAAAGTCCCAGGATGGGTTGATCTTATGTATACAAAGCATTTCCACCCATCTAGACGAAAATGCAATACTTACCAAAACAAAGACAGCAGCACTTTAAAACAGCCCCATTTTAGGGGGTCTAAAACCCCAGAGTAGTGTGGATGCCAGGCGTGAATATGGCTAAAGTTATGCATTTTAACCAAACGTATTATTGTGGATGTAGCTTCACTGTAGTGTGCTAATGCTGCCTAAGCTTGTTAAACAATAAATCATGTGAAAGAAGATTACCACACAGGTAGGCCACCTCCAGTGATGTGTAGCTTATTATGCAACTGACATAGCTTCCAATTATAATGACTGTTGCATGAAGGAGGGGTTACATTTGATCAACATTTGTATGTATTTCAAGAAGTTGGATAATATGCTCAGAGATTTACATGACAGGATAGATACCACTGTAATGTCATAGGTACATTTAAAGTAAGGACATTAGCTAAGCTTAGCATGAGGACAGGGGAAATATTGAATACACCAAGATCTGCCAACCAACACCTCTAAAGTTGACTTAATAACTCTGTTTAGTGTAAGAACAACATGATGTAAAAACTTACAGAATTACATGCTCGTCTGTTCCTTGGCGGGGGGAAGTGACGTCCTAGACCCCTCAGTGTCACTATGAGTACGCCTGGCAACGGTCAGAGACACCAGAAAGTCGCTGTGCCTGGCCAAGAAGAAAAGCATTTTTTTCTCAAAATGGTGAATATTATATTAGTCTTAGAGTAATATACAAAACTCGGACAGCGTGTCATGACAAAATGATGATGCCAAGTAGGCTATGCCATAATGTACAGGGACAGGGGCCAATACAAAATGCTCTGCTCTTCCATGCATGTTGCTTAACACATTTGGAGAATGATTGAATTAAAATGTTAAATACGAAAACTATATCCGGTGGAAATTGGCGTTGTGTGTATTGACAGATATTAGTGCTTCCAATAATCCGATATCAGTTATGTCAGGTGCTTTATAAAAGACTAATAATGATATGTTCCTGCTAAATTTGATAAAAGTATTCAGAAAGACACACAAACAGGATTGCAGTGGAAGTTAAACGCAACAAAAATTATGGCTTTTCTTTGTTTCTTTGAGTAACACATATTTGCACTTTTTAACACATCATAATGTCAACACTGTCATTTTTTCATTATGACATGTCTTATGTTCAAAAGTAGCAAACACAAGTGTGACAAAAGGGAACACCCGTGTGACAGAAGTGTTGCAATCCTCTGCAAAAGTTTAGAAAAAGGCCATGAGCTCACTTGTAATTACTGCAGTCACAGCCAGTATGAGGTATTATACTGTAGGAATAGCTCTCTCTCTCTCGCTCTGTATTTGACTCCTACACGCTGGTATCAACAGGAAAGAGTCAGCCAATGAAACTAATTGGGTGGTGTGTGTTTTATGAAAAGAACAGCCTGTACTGTCCCGAGGTTCCCTCCCCCCGCTCTCTGACTGGCTGGCTCCTAAGTGGTCTGCTTTTTTTCTCTTTGCTGTGATTGGATCAAGGGAATGTCAATAACTCCAAACTTTTTTTTCCTCCCTCCTTTCCTTAGGACTAACCCTTGTTGTTTTCAACTTTAGAGGCAGAGCTGGGCTGAGAGGATCCAGCACAGTCACAGCCTGCACTCTGGCGCTGTGCTGTGTTGTATTCCAACCACACACACTAGATTTTATTATACTAAATGGCAGTAGTAACTTCATAGGAAGTAGAGTCACTATTGGCAAATTATTGGAAATGCTTTGGTAGTTACAGTAGGGACCTGCAGGAAAAAAAGCTTACAACTGGATTATTGTTTTAAAGAATTACCATTATAGGTTATTTATTTAAGGTTATACTGTTGATAATGTATGCAATGTCATTCATCATACCAGACTGAAGAACTAATTAAACCTCTTTAGTGTTTGTATAGACTTTATGACTATGATCAGTTTGCCAGTTTATGTGGGCGGGTTACTTTAAACCTGAAGTGTGTGTTAAGAGTGGATTAGGAGTGTGCTTTGCAATCAAAAAGAGTAAGCATGTGTATGATTTCAGAGACGTAACAGAAACACACAGGGTATAAAATCGATTATTAGGCTCAGTTTTGCAACAATTTATTTATCTTACAAACAATAATGAAAATAGATATTTACAAAAAATGTATTTTCAGGAAGCTATACACGTACACCAACAATAAAAAGCTCGACATAAATAAGTTAGTAGGATTTTTTCAGTGTTTTGAAAAAAAAAGAAGCAATAAAGCACACAGGTACACTTCAAAGTTTTACTCCAAATAAGACAGTTGTTTTTCTGCCTTCAAAAAAAGTATAGAAATTAATAAAAGTGCAATTACATGTTCCACATGAATTTCACACCACAAATAACAAATCTTTGATTCACATATTTGCATAATAAGTAGCCCAGTGTTTTAAACATATTGTATCTATGTTAACCTGGACTACACCTCTTATTATAAGGGGCGGATTACGTGACATAAAAGCCACTAAAATATGAACTCATCTAATTAAAAAATGTTTTTAAATTCTTAGGATTATTAGCAAATACTGTTTAAATTTGGTTGGATATTGCTCAGCAGTTGAACCCCCCTCCCTTACCCCCAGAACAAAAGGCACAAACGTTGGCAAAAAAAAGAAATACAAATGGGGGAAATAAGGACACCATATTTGTATGTAAACTTTATGTCATGGCTGTTCCCAGTTTAGATGGACCCTCAACTTACAGTGTGGCCATCTGGGCCTTCACAAAAAAAGATATACAACACTGGGACAGATAAAGCCATAGAAAAAGTGAAGACATTTTGTTTACACACAACCCTGACTTCTTTTCGAATCTGCATTTTTTAACTTACATCAATTACCTGAATAATAATAATAAAATATGACCAACTTAACAAAATAATAATATTTCTCTGTTGGAAATTGCACTGCAACTTCCCGAGTCAAATTCACACAAATACATTTAACAAAAGGTATGAAAAGCATAGTATGCTTTCTTTATGTGCTACATCTGAAACATAGGTAGTAGATTTAAAAAAAAAAAGAAAAATGAGCAAAAATCCATTTGCACACTGCTACATTGTCTGCTTCTTCTGAGGCCATTTAAATTGAAATGTGTGCCAAAACTTGATAGTGTACATATTCAGTGCTTGTGCAGCCTCTCCTCCTCCCTTCTTTAGGAAAAGGCCGCGTTTTATTTTCACCCTCATCTGTCAGATGATGACTAGGCTACAGTGTTCCATCAGCAACAGGTCTCCCCGCTCTGTGGGAAATAAAGAGGAAACAAGCTGTTGGATGGTGCAATTAAAAAAGCAGTTGCTCGTGCTTAGAAACCTCACACACACACACACTGACACACACACACACACAGGTTAAACAGTCATAACACGATGGGGTTGTGGAAGATAACAGGAAAAAACAATATGTTGGTTTAAAGAGCTGATGACGTGTAAAGTGCAGGATATACACGTGTGCTTGCCGAAGCTAAACAAGTGTACAGAAGCTATATTTGCGTCCAGAATTTTAAGCAAAATCCTATATATTATGCTACATTTGAATGGCTTAATAACATTGCAACAAAAAAAATATATATATAGTGATTTCTAACCTGGCACTGTTTTTCACTTGGCCTCCGTTCTAACCTCCGTGCTGGGTCTCTCCTCCGAGGCTTTCACCGCCTGACTTCCTGCACTGTCCGACTGGTCTTCATCATCCTCTTCATCGGTATGCGACCTTTTACCAGGAAACTCGCTGGAGCAGGAACCTGGCAGGGAAAACAAGTGGTCAGGGTTTTAAAGCTTCACGTTTAAAAAGGCACCTGACATCTTCGACAGGAGGTATAAACTACTAGATTTAAATGCTTTATAGTAGCTACAGTGTAGATATGGCATTACAAATCTTAAGTGTCAGGGTCCTCCAAAAATGCACCATATAGGCCTATCAGACCTAAAACCATTAAAAAAAAAAAATCTTGCAAGAAACAGAGTAAAAATAAAATGGTGCAAGATTATGTTTGCTACTATGTAATCAATACGTGCGAGCTCTATCCCACTTTATATGACTTTAACAGAGTAATTCTCAGTCTGCCCCCCCCCCCCCTTTAAACTCACTTCAGTTAACCCTACGCTTCATGCCTCTGCATTGCAGCACAGTGAGAAATACACAGCAGCCTTTAAAATACGTGAAGAATAATCACCTGAAGCTCCTGAACGCCTCTTCCTCGAACCGAGTGTGTCCGGTTGATCCGACCTCCCTTCGGCTCCCTCCTGGTGGTTGTGTCCGGGCAGGTCTTCCTCTCGCTGGGGTCTCGTGTGAGGCTGCCGGGTGTAAAACTCCGGTGCGTCGCGGTCCTCCTCCCAGTCGAAATTGCGCGGGGAGAGCGGTCTGTCGTTGACGGGGTCGAAATTATACGTCTCCGTAAAACGCTGCACTTCTTCCTGTGCAAAAGACTGAAAATGCCTCTGTAGCTCCTCTGGGTCCGGTGTGCCAAAAAGGTTTCTGCGCACCGAGGGTCTCGCGTTTTCCGGCTGCCGCGCATCCACCCTCTCCAATGTGGGGCTCTCGGTAGAAAGGCGAACATCTGACATTTTGTTGCACATATAGACAATGTGGGGAAGTAAAAAAAAAAAACCCTTTCAAACTTCTATTTCCAAGTAGTATTCCTTTCAAATGCAAAGTCACGGGGATGCTGCGTGCATACTCCGCGCGTATCATCCAAAACGCGTCCGCGCAAAAAAAAAGAAGGAATTAAGCTTCTCCAAAGGGGGCAGGGGCGTTTTAAGAGAGCCACTCCTGTCAAGTCCGTAGTAAGGCTGATGAAAACAACAAGTCAAGTCATAACAGCCAACATGGCGTTAGAGGGAGCTACGAGTGAAGAAGAAAAGTTGACATCAAGGACTATTTAAATAGAGAAGGCGATTCATTGGTCTGCGCACTAGGACCGCCCATTGAGCTCTTAAAGTCGAACAGAGGGAAACAACAACACAGGGCTGGATTGGATTAACTCTACACACGACACGAAAATGGCCCAATTAACCTGTTTGATTAGTTAAATACACAGAGAGCAAAGGGAACAAAGGCTATGGTTATAATAGAGTGCGAAATCCTGCTTTATCTTTCCATTAGTACTCCATTTATCACAGCTGCCTCAGGATAGACATTAACTGAACACATACAGGACAGATATATAATTTGTTGTCATTATCTCATCTCATGTCATTTGTATCTATATGTCCGTGCAATGTGAGATGTCCTGAATAAAACAAAATGTATATAACACTGTGAACTGATCTACAGTGGTGTAGCTCCAGGCTATCGCAGGAATAAATCATTAAATGCTGGTACTAGTGCTGACAGATATCACCGCATGATCTGATTTTGTGTCACATAAATTGTTTAGGCACACTTGATTCAATCACTGTAATCCATTCAGAAACAGCTTCGAGGCTATTTAAGCACAATGAGACACTTAAATTACGTTTTTCTGCAGGAAAAAAAAAGCAAAAATAAGCCACAAATCTGCCTCCCAGGCATCCGATGACATCAGCTCTGGAGCAGAAAGCCTGCCATCATCGTTGGCACGGTGCCTATCGCTGTCAGACTTTGCCACTGGTGCCACAGAGGAGTTTTGTGTGCTTCACTGGTTGCAATTGCTTGTGTGTGCTTGGAATTTAAACACTGACAAAACAGAGTATGGTGCAGCTTTAAAAAGAAGAAAAAAATATCATGAAATTCACCACCATTTCCCCGTGGTTGGTTCTCAGTTTACAGATTCCTAAAAATTTACATTTGTGTTCATGCAAGACTTAAGTTATCAAATTCATTATCTGTACGCCCCAGAGCTGCATAGGAACCCTGTAGTAATTGATTGAATGCATCTGCAGTAGTAAGCACTCCTTGTGCCCAGGAGTTCACGATGTCCCAATCTAAACTCAACAGTGAATGTCGCTCTGCATTCCTCTTCAGCATTCGCCAGTAAAAAAACACTGGGCCTGCCTTAAAGGCCATGCTGTTTCAATTAGCCTTTTCGAAAACGTCCAGCATCTCGTGATAAATACGGCAAGGCCATCTGCTGTATCGATGTTATCGCCAGGATCACACTTAATCCATAATATATTTATGCTGCTGCAAAACTGTGTTGTACAGAGTGATCCCTTAGATGAAAACAGATTAAACGGCAAGTGAGAACAAAGGGTGTGTTTTGGAAATGATGGAACTGTTTATCACAGCTTAATGTAGCAGAGTGGGATGACGCAACCGCAGCAGGTTATGTCACTGAAACGAACATTAGTTACATATTAATTATGATCTACAATGTAACAGTCACGAAACGGAGAAAG